CGCCTAATTAATCGAAAAACATAAATAACATAGAGAATTTGTATTATTCGTTTTTTTTTTAGGGCCATGTTTTTATCGATTTATCAATCACGAAATTCTTTCTAAGTTTATGCTTTATACTTTATAAGGGTGTCAACTTAAATTCTGCACATGGCAACATACGCTTTTAATTAACTTACTTATTCGACAATGATCTAGTTAAGCAATATATATATTTTTTTTCGTAAATATATATTATTCTCGTCTTTTTTCAACTGTAATTACGATTTTCAAAATAGAAAATAATGTTTCAATATTTCCCTAAATAAAATATTAACAAAAAAAGCTATCTAATTGAATCAGCGTAAAAATAATATTCAATACAAAATAAAATATCAACGTTGTTAATAATATAAACTATAAAAGATAAACACCCTTATCATAAACACATGCATCCCTATGGAGAGGCAATTACCTCCCCCATACATTATTTCCAGTACAAAAAAAATATTATTATGTGTGTACCTATTACACTCATAACTTGAAAAAAATGAAATTATAAATATATATATACACGTAGACATGAATTATGGTTAAACGGTTTTTTTTTTTTTAAATAAATTTAAATAGTATTAGACGATGTTGTTTAACATCCAATAATAATATTTAATACGAATAAAACTTTTACTTTTAGCTTAAAACAATTATCAAATGACAGTGTTTTTTTCTTTTTATACTAAAAATTATTTATCTATTATTTAATTTTATTCAGTATCAAATAAATATTTGATTGACTATAATAACTAGAAACTTTTTTTGTAAATATTATAATTTTTTTCTATTTGTAATAACAAATTTGTATATTTAAAAACAGTTAATAACTCCTAAAAGTATTTGCAACGAGCACATAAATATGATTATATTTTTGTTTCTTTTCGACACAAGACAAATTCTTTATTTTCGTTAACGAGAGCGTAAGTAATTGTTGGAGTTTTTCAATTTCTCGGATAATGTTTACACATCAGAACATTAATTTTCTACTAGAACGCAACGATTAGTATTAAGATCGTTAAACTATTAACTCTTAATTCATTAGGAGTACTGCGCATAATAAATACCTCGTAATCGGTTTATGTCGAATATGATTAACCCATTTGTAGTTTGTGTGTCCTTTCGATAAAAGTTTTTTTGAGTACTTATTAAAGATGGATCGTTTTTGAGTCATCCGTCGTCGTTATAAAACTGGTACCATTCTAAGCGTTTATAATTTTCTCACGGCCGTATTGATACGCTTTTAAAACCCCTTACAATTTACCCTAATAAAACTAACTTAAATATATATGACAAAACGGGTTTTCGTTTTAAAACACCCCTCTGGTGATAAAATACATTTATAGACGACTGTTTACCACGATATCCAATGCATATCGGACATCAAATTCGTTATACTATTAACAAACATTGATATTAATAAAATCCATCCAATTTCTAGTCGTACATGTAAACACAAATCAATCCGATGTTTAGTTTTATTTTTGTTGCTGCATTTGGTGTGTGTTATTACGTTGGCATCAACAATAATAACTATTCAACTTTAACAACGTTGATAAATTTGATTTAATTGTGCACGAAGCGAANAAAGAACTATTCGACTTTAACAACGTTGATAAATTTGATTTAATTGTGCACGAGGCGAAAGGACATATTACCACAGTGGTTTAGCTAAAAAATATATTTCAAGGATCTTTTATTATTCCATCATTGCACCGCAGGATCTCCGAAGGCCTGTGCGTACGGCGCATACTCAGTGCTGCTAACCACCTCCACTGCTGTAATCAGTACCAGAGGAGTGAGCCGCTGCAAAAACGCCCATCACGAGCACTATTGGATGACCCAAATTCGAGCTCAGGCGCTTTCACCCGAAACGGTCGCGGCCTTCCGTCGCCCGTTGTTTGCGATTCGCCTCCCTTCCCAATTGCGTTTTGTGATGGCCCACCTGCGATTCTCTCGAGTTTTTACACGCTCTATGCGAATTCATATTGCCAACAAGTTATCAATTTCACTTTTCGTTCATTTGTATATTTTGCACGGAACAACGGCGAACGGAGGCCACGAATATTAATTGACTCTCGTTGCATAAGCCGCCGCGATAAAAATAAATAAAAAAACCCATACGTCCTTTTCCGAATCAGTACAACTCGGAGTTTGTAGTGCGAGTTCGACTTTGGTAGCTTTACACTAGTTCGTGTACACAATAGATGTTACGGCCAAGACAGTTTCCTCGGTGTGGTGGAGCGGAACGAGCATCGAGAAACTTTAGATCGAGTGCCGCCCAAGTATACAACTCGTCTGATGATAACGTCGTGGCATCAGTCTAAGGGACCCAGTTGACACCTATCCGGTCTCGAGTGTGTTCCCACAGCGTGTGTACTTACCGAAACCCGACGCGGTTTCGCGGCCGTAACGACAGAAGAAAATTAACATTTTATTGTCACTGTTGTTGTTCGGAGGTACGGAAATTTCATTGGTACACGTGGTAAAAACAAAAGAACACCGCGGACGTGATTTATGGACACGGTCCGTACACTGTACACAATACACAACGCGTACTGCGCTGACTAATATATTATGCGACTAATCGGTTTCGGGTACACAAAGCCCATTGTACCTCCTCGCTGCTTTGGTGTGCACTCAAAACTACCGTCCGGTGAATAGGGTTACTCACAGTGCTTACCCATTCCCGTCATTAAAACGCACTGCTCCGTCTAAGTATAAATTAAAGTATCGAGGAAAGTACCGAAAACGATTCTTATAAAAAAACCAATAAGCCGACACGTCTGGTCCGAGTAACATTTGTTACTCGGCTTATTATCCGCTGAGAAGTATAGAACGTTCGGACATTCGGAAATAAATGAGTTCCTATGAATAACTGTTTAACAGGGTGATAATAATATTTAAGTCGAGACAAATTTGTTTTATAATTAAGACGATCGAGTGGCACTTTGTATTGGAAAATAAAATATTCAAACGTTTGCTTACTAGTTAGTCTGAAGCAATCGACACAACCTGTGCATGCGTGTGAAATTGGATACATTATATTATAATGTATCCAAAATGAAATGTTAAAATACGTTAATTTGTTAAATTTCTTAACTAGCCTCGGTAAACGACATTTGCGTTACTCATTTAACGTCAATCATACACTTGTTTAATAGCACAACAACATAATTTTATTACCCAGCACCTCAGACTTCCTGATCTTGGCGCCCCCTATCGGTTTCCGGTGACTGCGACATCAACAAGAGAAACGTTTTAACATTTTATGCGACTCCAAATAGTTAATCTCCACTTAAAACGTTTCATGTTATAGTAGTTATACGGTCATATTTTTTTTTATTATTACCACACTTTCCTTGAATAATTTTAAATTGTGTATTTCTTTTTTTTGTTCTTCATTAGTCTGTATTGACGACTTTATCCATGAAATCTGCCACGACAACGTGCTATGGGTAATTATTATCAATCATCAACATGTGCATTGATATTGGACAGAATCTTAGTGGTTTTCATTATTCGATTATTACTGAACCTTAACAATAATTAATCATTTCAAAAAATGTCATCGAATAATCTTTTCGCGCGATGGCAATTGCAATTTGCAAGACAATACGGGCAGTACCATTAAAACAAAATATTATGCAAAAGGATAATGAACACTTGTTGATGTTGTACATTAAAATATAATCATCTCAGCATTGTATAGGAGGTAGTCGTATGTCTCAAAATGGAAAAAACGCAAAACCGTAATAATATTATAATGCAAAATAATTTATTCCAAGTAATAAATCAATTTTATGTACAAGCGTGTTTATAGACATTTTTACAAAACTTAATTTAATACAATATAATTGCATAATTTTATATGCTAATTATAAGTAACATACATACACTTACAATATTTTATACATAAAAATATAGAAAAAACATATATGGGCACTAAGTATATTATTCTAAAGGTAACAAAATGTATGGCGATCTAATGACATTACGCAAATTTCGATTTTGATTACTAAACAATAAATAAAAAAAAAAAAGAGTCAAAAACGCAATAAGGTTTAGGAAAGTAATGGAATGAAACGAGTGAAAATAGTCGACATAAACGTAGTAGAAAACAAGATCAAAAAATTAAAGAAATGCTTATTTTGGAGGGTTGTCGTTGACAAATCGATCGATAGTTTATCGGACAGCAGCAATTTAATAGTAAATTGTCTACGGATCGAGTGACGTCGCTGTTAAAAACCCAATTAACAGTTAGAAACGGAATCGACGTGGACCCGATAGAGTTCCAAGTGTTTCCCGTCCGAGGTGTAAACCCGTTTGAAATATCTCCAACCAAACGAGTCAACATCGGTATTTTCGATTTGTTAGATAATATTGTAAAACAATGCAATTCGAAAAAGAATAAGTTATATTGTTCCGGGGTGTCATCGCCGCCACAAAGACAGGAGTATGTGAGCCAAGGGAAGTATAGTAGGCAAACACGCAACCAGTTTCACCGGTTGCGACATTTGACGCTGGGTTTATTCGTTTTTTATAATTCCGTACGGTTCTTGTCAAGAAGGTACTTAACAGTTTATTTATTTTACACAAACGCAAATATTGTATGATAAAAGAACTTCTTTGTAGGCACGATGACTATTGGTTTTTGTTTGTATTGGCAAAACGAAATGATTTTAAGTATTTAAACGACCGTTCGGATCGGAATGGTCATTTCGTGGCCGTCGAATCGCCTAACACAACAGAAAAAGTAGTATCACAGTTGAGATTATTTTAAGAAAAACATAAAAAAGTAAAACTAAGAAATAATATTGCAGAGACCGACAACGATCACAACGTCCATTCATACTAATAATAATTATACGTTAAGATCGAGAAGGCAACGTGATGCACAGTAATAATTTATCGTGAAATTTTCTACTAGTTACAAAAAAGTTTTTTTTTTAACTAACGACGTTAACGACTCGACCGAACTTATCACAAATTGTTTAAATATAATAAAAATCATCTGTTAAAACGGTAAGCGAACATGAAAATCAAACCATAAATAGAACACGTTACCGTTTCACGTGAATTTTTATATGGCACCTCGTAGAAAACGGGCAGATCTAACTGAACTCTGTGGCGAAGTTGTCTTCGAATATGTACGGGTCGCCGTTGAAGTCGATGGGCGGCAGGGCATGATCGGCGAACGGCATGAACGAAGCGGCGTCCGGAAAGTCGGTGGCCAACAGGGACGGGAATCCAACGTCGGTAGAACAGGAAGAAGGCGAGAGCGAATAGGCGTTTAAGTCTCTGAAAACAGGGTCCAGAAAACCACAGCCGCCGCCACTGCTGCTTCCGGGTGGCGTCGACAGAGAGCACTCGCTCAGTAAGTCGGGCGCGTACTCGCTGAGTAGAGAGTCCACGTCCGACTGGGACGGCGAAGTTCCGGTCGCGGTACCTGGCGAAGGCTGTGCCGACAACAACCCGCTCAATGCGGAAATGTACTTCATGGCCAGCCGTAGGGTGGTGATTTTCGTCAGCTTTTCATTGTGCGCGTCCACCGCCAGATGCGGAACAGCTCTTCGGAGCGCTTCGAACGCCTCGTTGATTTCCCTCATTCTGCTCCGTTCCCGAGCGTTAGCAGTCTTTCTCCTGTACCTAAAACAATTACATAACAGCTTGCTAAAGTCACCATTTCTTTTTTTAACGACATAATTATTAACAGATTTATTTTTTAATTAGTTTATGACTAATAGTATATTTGGTATTTTATTATTTGGTAATAATATAAAATTTAATGTTACTAAATTCATTTAACGAAAAAAATTCAAGGACAGTAATTATTTTTAACCTTAATAATGCCCGACAAAACTTTATGTTTAACTTTTTTTAATTTATAATTATTTTTTAAATGTAATTTCCGAAAAATATAACCATCNATTAAATGTCATTTCCGAAAAATATAACCATCTAGTCTAAAATAGTACGAATCTTATAGATTTCTACAATATTATAAATCAAACAAAAAATAAATAATTATAAATTTACGTTTGATTAAAATGATTACATGATTTTCAGTGATCGCAATGTAATTGAACGAATTTTTAATTTATTTAAGAAATACAATACATCTACAACGGATGCTGTAAAAAAATTGGATTTAATAATATTCATTATGACTGGTAAAACAAATAAGACCCGCATATGTATGTAATAATTATAATATTTTTCTTCAAAATAAAAGTAAAGATGTTTACTTTGTTAGGAAACGTGACGCTCATGTTTAGTCACTTGGTTTAAAAAAGCACTGTAATGTTTCACTTATTTATCTAAATTAAACACGAACTATACGCGTTTCTAACGAGATAGAACCAATTAAAAAGGTTTAATGAAGTTGCTACCCCAAGTGTACTGGGTGACTACAAACAAATCGATAAATCACAATTCGGGCGTGACTTAACAAATACATTTACTTACAAGCAATGTTTACATTTAGATTTAATTTCCATTCAGTATTGAATTTCAATAAAATTAATCAATAGATAATCATGAAGCATAAAACATGGATATTTTAACTTCAAAGAAAATGAACTGTATAATAAAATAGTGTAAGCCTACCGAAAATTCAAAGACGAGATACTCGGGAGAATAAAAACTTCCGTTCTAATTATTGTCAAACAACAATAATAAAATTGAATACAACTGAAATCCGGAAGAATACAAAGAAAAGTAAAATTAATGACTGTAGAACCTTCCTGTTTCCGACTCGAACCCTGAATTATGTAATTTATAGATATTTAATACTGCGCCTAATAGATATCGGATAAGTGTATAACTTCTCAATAAAATTAAAACCCATTCAAGTGAATCAACGACTTAGATTATCTAAATATACTACAACATTTAGCAAGATGAGGAAATCTTCAATTTATTTTAATCTTGCTATTAATGTTTACAAACTTATGTATCGCAAAAACACTAAATTTCCGAGCACCCAAAATTTATTAATTAAACAAATAATGGAGCTTCATTGGGTTGATAAAAATTGCCTAAAAGATTTTTTACCAAAAACAATAAAAATATATCAATAAAACGTATATGAAAAAATAACATAAATCTAAATTTTTAATTTCTTTAAAACTTCTAAAAACACTCGTAGTATTCTTGTAAAAATATATATATACCTGCTTAGGGGTTTAGGTTTTTGCCTCCGTTTGGCCGATCGTCCTCGGCTCGAAGGCTTCCATCCCTCCTCGTTTTCTTCATCGGGTTCTTCACGTTTGAGCGAAGCCCTAGGTCTGAGAGAGTACTTTTCCTGGACCAAGATTTTTTCCTGCAACGGCACGGCGCTGTTATTATTCGCGTCGAACTCAGCCATTGTCGGAAAGTTTATCGTACCGTTTATGTAAAAAATTGTGAAAAATGTATTTTAATATTGTTATAAAACAAAAAAATCTTATTCGTCAATTCCTCGATAATTTATAAATGACAATCAAAATTCATAGCTAAACACATTCAAACACACGCGTTCTGCACATGTACATTTTCGTCGGTGGCGATTATTCCATGGCGGAAAACTCGCGTGTTAGCAGTTCGACGGTTCATCCGACTGTGATGGTACACGAGCGTTTAAGTCTCTAAAACGGACTAAGGTACGCAGAGAATGATCCGCGACGGCCGCACCGCCACTACACAGATGTGGGCACGCGCTCGGTTAGCCCCTCTCTTTTAAGAGCGTAGAATGTATGGAGTAAAAAATACAACAGACACGCTGCCCCCGCGACGCCCAAAAAATATGATAAAACCGGACCTATTATTTATGTTTCCTTTTGCTTCTCTTCTCTGGTATTCTTTGATATAGAATATCGTTAAACTTGTAAAAAAAATCTTTTTTTTTTTTTAATTTCTCTATATTTTTTCAATACGGTATTTACAGAACTTTTTTTAAATAAGATACGAGTTTTGAATTTTTACATTGTTCGTTTATAATTGAAAATTGATGTTCGTTTTGTTACATACTTGGCACAAAATTCAATTAATAGCACTACGCATTGTCGTAAATCGTTAAATTGGTTATAATCATTTCGACAAGTACAGATTCAACATGTTGGTTTCATTTTTATTTGATGTTTATGAATAATTTTTTTTAACGCTACCATGTAAATGTACTACAATTTTAAAACAAATACAAGTAATACATCGATCAATGTAAATCACTATGTATATATCGATAATATATCTATCAAATCACTTATAAGTTCGAACTTATAAGTGATTTGATCAATGTAAATAAATCCATCTTGGATTCAGTAAAAGTTTTTTCTATATCTATCTAAACATACTAAATAAAATTGTCATTATTAGTTTATTAAGTACTGCAATTAATATAAAAAGTGTTGTGTCCATCCACTTAAATACACAAATCTTTTAACTTATAATTTCCTGTGTGACTTAGAGATTATAGTATTTTATTAAATATAATACTGAAAAATATTATAATGCAATTTACTATCAGTTTACAATACTTTCTAAACATTATATCATATATAGAAATAAGTGTTCAAATAAACAAAATATTGTGTTGAAAATTTAAATATAATATTGTATTGTTAACTTCTAATGAAATTAATATTTTTATTATGCAAAAATTTTACTTTTTTTTTGTAGTTCTATTTTTATGAAACGAATTCAATATTTTATTGTTATTATATAATATGAGATATAATGAAAAAGAAATAGAAAACCTTATTCATTTTTTTAATAAAATCTGTTCAAGTCAATTATTTATTTTTAATAAATTAATATTTTTAAGTGACTTTTTCAGAATATGGCTTTGGTATTAAAACCCCTTTTGAGTGTATTTTGGTTACAAAATAATTTTAGAGAATTATAAAACATACATTTTCAATAATATTATTTTATGTTTGTTTATCGGCACATATAAATCGCATGTCTTCACAAAAACTTTTTGTAAAATAAATATTTACTTTTACACATCCACTAAACACAAATAAATATTCCAAGATTAATTGTATGAAACTTAAATTGTTCTGGTAAAATTGAGATATATATTACGAATGAGATAACAACATCCAAAATTTAATAATAGAAAAATGCAATGAAATCAACGGAGTAACTAGAATGTTCATCGCTATCTGGCGGATAATGTATTATTTACACTTGATTTTTCTCAATGCTTATAATTTCTTTGTATTAAAAATAGTATTATAATATTTATTCAAATAGAAAAAAGGCTTCAAAATAACTAAATAACTCCTAGAAGTCTATTTCATTTATTTTTAAGTTGTTTTTTAAAACTAAAAATAACAAGCTATAAGTTTCAAATAACCTTTATTTTTTAAGCATTTGACATTTTTTAGAGATTTCAGATTATTTAATATGTATTTATTCAATATTACCCACTACTTAGCAACCAGAATTTTCATAAGTTTACTAGATACAACATTTATATGAAAATAAATTATTTTTATGTTGCGAGACAATACATTACTAAATGATTAAAAATAAAATTATAGAATTTACTTTTGTCTTTTATCTATAGTTCAAAATATATTCTAAAAATTACACACAGAAAATAAAAATAAAAAATTTATATACAGAGTGATACTTTTAACTCTAATCACTCGATTTCTCTTAAAAAAATAATTATCTACCAGTTATTTTCTTATTTAGATAATTTTTTATGTTATAAGCTAGTTAAATATGTATGTTACCATTAAAAAAAAAAATGAAATTGACACCCTTATAAGATATAAATTTTAAAAATAATTAATAAATCAAAAAATATTTTTCAGCATCATTATTATTTAAAGAGAAATGGAAGGCTAGAGTTAAAACAAACACCTTATATATATTAAAAAAAGATTATTACTAGTATCCAAGAACAATTTTTTAAGGCTTAAAACAGAACACAATTAAAAACTGTTTAATTAATCAATTTATGTACAAAAATTGTTCAAGCATTACAATTCATTTGTACAATTAATAAAAATTATAAATTGTGTTTCTCAGATCTAACTAACAACTCTTATAACTTGTTGTAATAATAGTATTAATATATCAAAAATTATATTATCATCCTATTACTCATATCATTGTGTATTAAAGGAAAATATTGTAAACTTTGATCAAAATTAAACTATATGTCAATAAAAATATTTGGAAACACTAATGATGTTGATCCCATAATTGAATTAAAATAAAAGTATAAAAAGACGCGTTAACGTAGTTTAAAATACACTAGCATATAAATTCTCTCAGAGTCAGTTGGTCATCAACATCATCAGTGTGAAAAGACACATTTAAAAAAAGGAAAAAAAGAATACTTATTCAAAGGTAAGCAAGAAAATTCTGAACATAAAATTTTAATNAAAAAAGAATACTTATTCGAAGGTAAGCAAGAAAATTCTAAACATAAAATTTTAATATAAATAATAAAGTTTAAATAAGTACTTTTGGTAAAATCGAATCTATATAGAGCAGATTTCGTTTGAGCTATTGTACAGTAAGCGATTGCTCTAGTTTATTGGTAAATTAAAATTTATATATACATATATATGTGCTAATATTCCTTCTCTTTGGAATTGTATTAGTAAAAAGATAAACCCTCAGAACACTGACCCCGATATAAAAAGTAACTCAAGAAAATAAAATAAGGAATTAAGATTAA